ATTTGTTTAGTTTATATTTATAAGTATGGAAGCTACACCAGTGGGATATGTTGTTGTAATTAAAAGAGATGGTACTGATGGTCCAAAAATTCCAATTGAAGCTAGTACAAATAACGTAACATTCGGAAGGTATTAGGTTTTTTTTTTCTAATACCTTTGTTATTTTTCATTAAAAAAAAACAAGCGTGAACTTTTTTTTGTATTCTTTAAAAGTTGATTTAAAATGGAACACTTTTTTAATAAGATTACTTTTTTATTTTATATTTTGCTGCAGAAATGAGTAATATCAAATCAAGTTTGATATTACTCATTTCATTACCTAAGTGCCTAATATTAATCATCTCATTACCTAAGTGTTTTTATGTTTTACATAAAAACAGGTAACTTTCTACCTTTGTATCAAATTTTTTTTTGCCGACCTAATAACCATTAATTTTTTTGCCGACCACTAACAAATTAAGGTTGGCAAAAATGAAGAGATTAAGGTTGGCAAATTATTGCTAATTTTTCCTAATTTCGAGGGCTGCTCATTTTCTATTTTATATTTAAAACAATTGTAACAAGTATTCTCCAAACAAATTGTCACATTGGTAAATATCCAAATTCTGATAATTCATTATAACAAACTTTTAGATAAAATGAAAGAAATAGAGATGCAACTTTCCAACAATTCAATAAAGGCTCATGCTTGAAAGCTTGAGCAGGTCCAAAAACATATTCAATGAGTTTTTTAACTTTGCCTAAAAAAGAAAAGATATCATCATTTTTCTGATACTGGAAAGTTAGACCTATAGTCCTCTATCTCAATTGATACAAGCAATTTAAAGCTCCACAAAGATAAATTAAAAAAATTATTTTTTAGATCCATAATTTGTTTTTTTGGGGGGTTATAATCCTCAGCAGGATTTTATTAAATGTAAAATTATATAAAAAACTATTTTTCAGCTTGTTTCATTCTAAGCTATCTTTTTATATTTATATCATGTCTCTTCTTGTTTGAAATTGTTTAGAGAAAACAAGAACGAAAAATTGTTGGCAATTAAACTTTAAATGAATAAGTTTGATACTTAGATCTATTTTAAATTACATTGTGTTAAAATATAGTTTTTTCAAAAAAAAGGTTAAGCAATTGTTTACAATAAACTTGTATGGCTTATATGTAAATATATTGTTTTCTTTTATATTTATTTTCTTTTTTACATTACAAATGTAAAATAAAAAATATGTCTAACAGCATCAAATTTTTAGGAGTTTTTCTGTTCCCCTAATAACTTTTTAAAATGCGGAAACAACTTTTTAATTCACATCTGTTTTTTATAAGGATATATTTTAAGTAAAGTTTTTATACTTCATTTAAAATACTTAAATTTTTTCACTTTTTTGCATAGATATACATACTTTTGTTTATCTAATTTTATAATATAATTTTTATCATTACTTAAATATTCATGTGTAAATTTTAACTAAATTTTTTTTTTAAATTGCAATAAATATGACAATATTGCATATAACATTTAAGGCACAATACATTTGTATTGTGCTTTAAAATGTAATATAATGTTAGTTAAAAGAGTTTTCATTGCAATATGTTATCTTAGAATTATATTAAATAACAACAATAAGCAGCGCGAGATTCAAGGATGGAAAGTAAATTTAAGCACCAAATTAGAATATCTAGTAACTTTTGTGTTTGTAAATTGAAAATAATTTTTTTTTTTGTTCTAAATTTTGGGTTTGTAAATTAAATTTTTGTATTTGTAAATTAAAATAAAAATCACTTATAAAAATTTATGTAAATATAATAATCTTTTTTTAAGTTTTACACAAATAAAACATGAATAATATGTTTCATTACAAGTTTAATTTTTTTTTTTTTTAAACTTTGTTTTTTTCAGTGTACTTAACCAGCAAATTTAGTTAACCAACAGTATTTTTAATTACTTTAATAACATAGATGATTTTTTTCTGGGAATTCCCGGAATTCCAGATATTCCCTTAAAATACATATATATTTTCCAAAAATTTCCGGATGTTTTTTGTTACTAATTTGAAAAAAAATTAATATATTTTTACATATAATTTTAAATACAACAACTTTTGCATTTAAACAAATATGTTTTCTATAATTAAACTTTTCACGCGATCAATTTTTAATAAAATAGTTTTCCAGGATTTTCTGGGATTGTAATAGAAAAAAAATTTCCAGGATTTTCATAAAGTCAAATACTCATCTATGTAATAAAAAATGTTATAAACTTTTAAGTATGTTCACTATTTACTGACTTACATACTTAACCAGCAAATTTAGTTTACCAACAGTATTTTTAATTACCTTAAGAAAAAATGTTATAAACTTTAATGTATGTTCAAAATGCAATTTTAATTATACTTTAAATTAAAATATAATTTTTTAAATATTTATATGAAAAGTTTTTTGCAACTTTTTAAACTTATAATAAACAGCAGTTAAAAGTTAAATGAAGAATTTTTTAATAATAAAAACAAACTAAAAAAACAACAATAAACTCAATGAGAAATATAAACTAGTGAACATCACATGTTAATTAAAAAATAAAGTTTGTTTAACTTTTAAATGAAGTTGTTAGTTAATAACTTTTTGACCTTGCTAATTAATGACTGCACTTTTATTTTTGTGTAAAAAAGACGATTGTTTTTGATCAACTAAATTCATTTTTTTGTTATGCTTTCTAAATACATTATATAATACAATAATTAACAGATTATAATAAACTTAAAATATATAAACTGCGGAAAGGTGACTAGTCCTCCAAATTCACAAGTTCACTTTTTAGTACAAATCAGTTCTATATGGGTAAACACAACAATGCTAAAAAGGAACATCTGCTATCATTTTTATTGGCATGGCAGCAATTTTATTTTTGCTTTTACTGCAGATAGGAAAACATACAGGACTTGTTCCTTTTTCGTTGTAAACAAAGTTCTAAAGTACTGTTTACTGTTAAAACACGGGTGCACAGTGGGATAAAAATATGGTGCATAAAAAACAAAATTTCACATTTAAAACTTTGAACTTTTTTAGTGAAAAATTGAAAGAGTAAAAATTTATGTAAATATAATAATCCTTTTGTTTGTTTTACGTTAGCGTGGTTGGAACTGCTTAAAATACGAATGATACATTTTATTGCAAGTTTCATTTTTGATTTTTTTTTCAAGATATTATTTTCAGAGTAATTCATTCTTCATTGTACTTACTAGGTTTTCTACATACACTTTAAATCTGAGCCTGATTAACTTTTTTACTATGAATTTTGGAACCTTTGAGCATTTTAAACCAATTCAGAATACTGCATTTTAAACAATGTCATTGGGCTGGCTCACACTATGTCCTCTTTCTGTTCTCCTAATGAGAGTACAGAATCCCCTAATGAGATTACAGCTCTAAAACTCAGTTTAATGGTTCTGAAGCTGGGTGATAGTAAAGTTTCCCAATATATGTAGTAATTCTCAGAGAGGATGATTTCATCAACAGCTGTAAAATATCAGAGTATTAACAGTGCCATGTTGCACATGAATAGTGTCCCTGGTGCTTTTGGTTTGCATTGTGAGACCATATAAGGAGGAAAATGTTTTCTTAATTTCATAAAATATGCTGAAAAAAAAAAAAAAAGAAGTTCATTAATATTTATTTAAATTTTATTGACTTTTTTTTCAAAAACTCATTTCAATTGTAGTATATGGTTGGTGACAGGTATATATATCAGGGTGTAAACCCTGTGAGACCCATCTAATGCGGTATTCCCAAATACTAAAAAAATTCAAATTCCCAATTTAAAGGTGAAAAAATCCTATTCTCCAAATAAAGTTTTCCAAATTAAAGTTTTCAATAATTCTAAAAATTGTTGAAAATTAATTATTTTCAAAAACTAATAGAAAAATAAGATAAAAAATTCTAATTTATTAATTGTCTAAACTTGAAACAAAAACGTCATTATTTGTACAACTATGCAATCGAAAATGTCTATTGGAAAAAACTTCTTAAGAATTGGGATTTTCCCAGCGATTTTTTTTCTCAGCAACTTGCTTGTAAAATTCAATTTCAAAACTTGCAAATCATTTTCTGCAATGCATTCCAACAACAACAAATATTACATAAAGAATTAACAATAAAGAGAGTACAATCTAAAAAAATAACAAACTTGTTTGGTTTGACACCCAAAAATTCTATTTCTTCAATAGTTTTCCCTTTTTGGCTGAAAAGGTAAATAACTTGTTAAGTCTTACTGCAAACTCTACTTCAAGTAGTACATGTGCTTCGTCAACAAAAGTATTGAGAAGCTGTCTACGTTAGATAATTTTGAAATTTTGATCAATTACAGATTTAACGGTCATTTATCTTTTTTTTGTTTGGTATTTTACATCAATTAAATTACTTGATCAATACGATCAAAAAAATGACTAAAATCATTTTTTACTAATCTACTATCTATTCTTGACTAACTTTTTTAAAAGAACACTTCTGAAATATAAGTTTAATACAAATATAAGTTTAATACAAAGATTATAACACACTGGTAAAATAACACACTGGTAAAATGATTATAACACACTGGTACTAATTGATTATAACACACTGGTACACTTAAAATAATTATAACACACTGGTACTAGAAATTTATTTAACAAGAAAAATAGATTTCTTTACTTTACTGCTTGCTTTTAATTAAAACATAAATTAAATACGTATATTAAAACGTAAATTAAATACGTTTAATATCAAGAATGTTTTTTTTTTTTATTACAGCAAACAATACTAGAAATCTAAAAATCAAGAAAACTGGAGTCACTGCTTGCTTGAAATTAAAATGTAAAAGCAAATTTAAATGTTTGAATGAACCATAGTTATAATAATATTTTATGAATGAAAAAATAATTATTGTTATTCTTCGATGCCACGATAGCGTGCAAGAGCTTGTGATTAATATTTTTTTGTAATTAAATGACGTTAGTTGTTGTTTTTTCTGAGATTTTGTAATTGTAACTTTATTTTTCTATGCTATTCTGAAAAATAGTCTCCTTCAGTAAGAATGATTTTTCTTCCATCATGAAACAAGCTTGTATATTCCATTTTTATAAAAGTCTTTTATAAAAGATTTTGATTAAACTCATTTTCGAGATCTTCTCTATTTTGAAACTGTCGATTTCTCATATGATTATCCAGAGCCAAAAACAGGTGATACTCGCTTGGGGCAAGGTCTAGTGAATACGGAGGGTGAGGTAGAATCTCCCATTGTAAATGTGCTAGAGTTTCCCGCATAATTTTTGCGGTGTGCAGTCTGGTGTTGTCCTGGAGGAATACAACACCTTTTCTGTTCGCCAAAGCTGCTTGTTTTTGTTAAAGAGCAACCAAAACTCTGTCCAATTGGGCTAAGTATTATTCAGCACTAATAGTTTGTCCACTTGGTAGCAACTCATAGTGAACGATACCTGCTGTAGTCCACCATACACACAGTAAAACCTTTTGTTAGTGAATATGTGGTTTAGGAGTCATAGGTACTGGATCGCTACTGGCTAACCAATGATGTTCGTTTTTTGTTGCAGTACATAATCCATTTTTCATTGCATGTTAACGTCCGGTCAAAAAATGGCACTAAATTATGCAGGCAAAGCAATGAAGAACAGATGGTTAAGCGCTGTAGCTTGTTTGTTTCACTCAACTCATAAGGTACCCATTTGCTCAACTTCCAACGTTTTCCAAGTTGGTGCAAATGTGAACGAATAGTTTCATCACTCATATTAAATCTTAAGGCAAGGTCCTGACATGTTTGGCTGGAGTCCTGCTCGATTGCCAGCTTGATATCCTTGTTGTTGACGGTGGATGGTCTTCCAAATTTTGGTTCATCTTCAAGGTTTTCTTTTCCAGAAGAAATTTTTTTGAACCACTTTTGACCCGTTCGTTCAGCTATAGTACCTTCCCCAAAAGCAGCGCTGCAATGCTGCAGAAGCATATCTTATGACAAGCTTCTGCAGCTTTGGTGCCAAGTTTAAACTCATAAAGTAAACAGGCGTGAATTATCGCATTTGACACAGCCATACTCAACTAACGAATTTTAAATTTAAATCGCACTAATAAAATATTATAAAACACACTGATTGATTCTCCTTGAAACAAGTTTTAATTTATAAACAAAATTATCTCCCTACCACAACCATTATCTTATAATACTTTTGCTAGTAAATAGGAATTAGGAAAAACTGCACGAACTTTATTGGTTACCTAATATATGCTATTATATGACCATGCAAATAATACTTTATTTTGATGATTTGACCACGATTTTTAAATTTGAAAAATGCGCTGAAATTTTTTTTTTTTAATTACGTCAAAAATAAATAATTTTGAAACTTTTATCTTTACTAACGTTTTAGTATTAGCAAAATGCATTTAAATAAAGTAACAGTTACTGTGAACGTTTTAATTTTAAGTATAGATGAAAGTTGTATAAATTTTTATTTATATTATTTAAATATAAAATTATACAACAATTTAAACAACAATTGCCTCTTTAATAAACTTTATTTAAGAATCATTAAAGTTGATATACTCGAAAAGATTTTGTTGAGAAGAAAAAAAGACAAGCTTTTGAATTGAAGCCATTTAAATTGAAATTTTTAAAATGTTTTTTATATTTTTAAAACGCTTTTTATTATTAAATAAAGTAAGAATTCACTGCTAATGATTTTTTCATGTTAAAGTATTAATGTAATTTTCTTTTGTCTTTAAATAAAAAAATTATCAATTAAAGTTAATATACTCGAAATATAACAAATTTTTTTTTTGCAAGAATGCAAGTTAAAAAAGAAATATATAAATATAATTTTATTTTTATAACTGTTATGATTTATTTTCTTTATTCTTTAAATTAAAAAAAATATATATATAATTTACAAATTAAATCAAATTATCAATTAAAGAAATAGCTTTGTTCAATATTTTTCGTTTTTATCTTCGCTTTTTCTTATTTGCTTTCTGATATTGGATTTCTGACAAAAGGAAAGATTTAATTATTTTTCTTTTGTTTATATTACTACGAAGAATTATATAACTTTTTTTATTGTTATCTTTTAAATATGCGTGTTTATAAAAAATTGTTGGGAGTTATTACTTTGTTTAAAAAGGGTTTCGTTATGTCTAAATAATAAAGAAAAAACATTTTTTTTTTGTTTGTAAGTCAGTTGTCATTTTTGTGAATTGCGTCTCTTTGCCCCCTCCCCCCTCCAAAAAAAAAAAAGCGTCATTAAAAAAAGTTTCCTCGTTAAGTTTAATTGTTTTTTTAAAAAATACCACTAACGCTCGAAAAAGTTTTTTATAAAAACAAAAGTGTTTATTTAGCTTTTTTTTGTCGATTAGTATTATTTATTATTATTATTTTTTTAAATATTAATATAATTTTATATGGTACAATAACAAAGCAGACGAAACACTACTAGTTTTATAATATAAAAACATTAGTAAATATTCAAAGTTATTTATTTCAAACATAACTATCTTATTGTTAATTATTTATTTTAGTAAAGTTTTGTTTTTATTTTGTTTTATTTTTGTTTTAGTTATTTATTACTAAGCTATTTTTATTTTATTTTTTATAATTCTTTTAAGAAGATTTTTTTTCTTTTTTTAAAATAAGTATGTTTTTTTAATTTTTTTATAACTAAGTTAAGTTTTCAGCGCTTTATTAAAAGGTAAAAATTGTGGTCAAATAATCAAAACAAAATATTATTTGCGTGGTCATATAAAGCGGTGAAATTGCACGCCTTCCTGACCAAGCCTGACACACACACACACACACACACACACACACACACACATATATATATATATATAAATATATATATATAATATATATATATATTTTATATATATAGAGATGAAGCTACTGATATTCGTGTACAGTTACCTGGAGTTGGTTTAAAACACTGCCAATTAAATATTAATGATGGAAAGGTATGAGTTTTTTTTTTTTTTAGTAAGTACATTATTAGCAAATAAGAGTACCATTCCTCTAATATGTTTTTAAAGTTACAATAAATTTGCAAAGTGTTTGTTTTTTAAGTTTTCTGCTTTTTGTTTTTTCCTCTCCTCTCTGTCATAAATCTTGCATTAGAACGATATACATATAAAAAAGTAATATTATTAAGACATACCATATGATGCAGAAGACGATAAAACTAAGTAAAAAAGTTAATAAAAACAAATAATGCAATTGATGAAAAATGCATACAAATATTAGAAAGTAAAGTATTTAAAATATACCAATTGTAGCAGAAACTAAAAGTTTTCAGAGTGTAAAGGGATAGATACAGTAAACAGATGGAATTTTTCTGAATTAATGAGCTGAAGGAGAATGAGTTATATGATGGAACTAGAGATGATAACTTCTTTCAGCATAGTATTTGTAAATAAGAGAAAGAGATGTAACCTTATGACAACGGCAGAGGCTCAAGGTTAGAAAACTAGAGCACCTACATTTATAATACATTTTTGGACCTTATCTAGAAAAGAGCATCATTAGAAGAACCAGTCTAAATATGATAACAGTATACCATACAGAGTTTAATAAAAGATTTTGTAGAGGTAAATATTGGAATCAGGAGTATGATAATAGCAAGCACGATAAAGAGAAGCAACAGTAGATGCTAGTTTTGCAATCGATTTTATTTATGGTATCCATGGTCAGTAGTGAATCCAAGAAGATGTAAATACTAGGACTCAGTAAGAGTTTTGCTATTCATTAATATAGGATGAAATTGCAACAGTTGTCATTATATTGAGAAAATTGCAACAGTTGTTTGCAGTAAATAACTGAGTTTTGTTTGAGTTAAAATTCACAAGCCACTGCAAGCCCCAAACAGTTACAGAAGAAAAATTAAATTAACGTTCAGCTGCCTGTTCTAAGCAATCAAAAAGAGAAGACTTAATGTCAAGACAGGAGTATTAAGTTGAGTTGTCAGCAAATAGAGCCACTTTAGATGAAGATTATCAAGTTGTGTTTTCCATAGTTTTTAAAATTGGAACCACAGATACCATTTCGCAACCACCTAAAAGAGTACAAGGATGCAAGTCGCAACCATCTAAAAGAGTACAAGGATGGTCGGAACCACCAAAAGGAGAAACTGAACACAAGCTTTTAACCATTTTGCATGGTCGGAGCTGCTTAAAGGAGAAGAAGGAGAAACTGAACTCAAGCTAAGGTTGGAGACAAGACACAAATCAAGGAGTGAAGATTGATTAGGGTTGTCTGGAAAATGAGTTGCAAAGTTAACTGTTTGAGTAAGAGATTGAGAAATACAGAAGTTATGAGCTTTAGAGACTGTAGGGTCAGTGCCAGAGCCACTGGTCAGTGTTAGAGCCAATTATTCATACGGGTAGGTGTTAGAGCCAATTATTTAATGTGATTAGTATTAAAGGCACCACTAGCAACAATAATGGGTGATGGATAAAGAGAAAGGGCTAAATTGTTTAAAAATTACATCTAAAATAACCAAATATCAAAATATGATTTTGTGGTTTTTTAAAGATACGTTTTTTAAAGATACTTACATGGTTAAAAAATTGAATAAGCCAGATTTTCTACATTTAAAAAGCCTAATTTTGTTTGTGTGGATTTTTAAATATTCAAGTTATATTAGGAACATATAATGACAGGCCATATTATAGGATAAACAAGATAACATATTATTCTACTTTGAGAAAATCTGTAAAATACGAAATTTACCAAAAATGGATTTTTAACAGACAATTGTTTTTATAAAAAGAATACTATTATGTTTTTGTGCAGTTTTAAATCTACATTTAGAACTGTAGATTTAAAACATATTAAAACCTATGTTGTTTCACACATTGAAGTGTAAGTTTATATATATATATATATATATATATATATATATATATATATATATATATATATATATATATATACACACACACACACACACACACACACACACACACACACACACACACACACACACACACACACACACACACACACACACACACACACACACACACACACACACATATATATATATATATTTATATATTTATATATATAAAACATATATATGTTTATATATATAAATATATATATATATATTCAGGGGTCGAAATAAGTGCCGGACATTGCCGCCCATCAGACCATTTTTGAGACCTGCTAGATGAGGGCAACAAACCATTGTTCATTTTTGCAGTAAAAATGAACAATGATTGGTTGCCCTCATATAGCAGGTCTCAAAAATGGTCTGAGGGGTGGTGATGTCCAGCACTTATTTCAACTCCTGTATATATTTATATAAATATAGTTATATATATATATATATATATATATATATATATATATATATATATATATATATATATATATACACATATATATATATTTATATATTTATATATAGTGCAAAAGGATTGTATTCAGAGCTGATTGTTTATATATATATATATATATATATATATATATATATATATATATATATATATATATATATATATATGTATACATATTAGTGCTTGCATATATCCTCGCGAGAGTGCTCGATGAATTAAAGTAAATTAAAATGATTTAAATTAAAACAGAGCTGTATTTACATATATTATTTATAAATAAAACTGCATATTTTTCACAACTATTAGCTTCATGCTAAATGCATGAAACTAATAGTTGTGAAAAAATATCATCTTCAATGCTTTTTTTCTCGTAAAAATAATAAATCTGTACAAAAGAAAATGAGTTAAAAAATCTAATCTTTTGGTTTGTGGTTGTCCAGCAAAAACTTGTTCTCATGGCGACATTTAGATATTAGTTCGTTTTTTTTTGTTTAATAATTCTTGAGGATTTTTATACAATAAAATATATATATATATATATATATATATATATATATATATATATATATATATATATATATATATATATATATATATATATATATATATATATAATATATATATATATATATACATATATGAGTGGGTCAGAAGCCAAGGGGTACAAGTGACAATTTTACCAAAATTAAGTTAAGTATAGAATTTGATAGAAGAAGCAAACAAAATTGTTGGTGGCCAAGGGATACAAGTGAATCTCTGCCCTGTGCTGCTTTCTACTGGAAAAACATAACAACAGCTGAGTATATTTAGCAAAAATACTTTATATATTTATATATATATATATATATATATATATATATATATATATATATATATATATATATATATATATATATATATATATATACATATATATATATATATATATATATACATATATATATATATATATATATATATATATATATATATATATATATATATATATATATATATATATATATATATGTATATATATATATATATATATATATATATTTATATATATATATATTTATATGTATATATATACATATATATTTATACATATGCATATATATACATATATATCTATATATCTATATATATATATATATGTACAGTGCGGTGCAAATTTATAACCTCACCAAAAAATCAAGTTCTTACAAATAATTAAATAATCATTTTTAAATTATTCAATTGCTTAATATCTTACTTGATTAATATTTCATTTGTAATAGAGTCTGGTTTCATTTCGTTAACTGACTTGAAAATTTCAAAAAAAGTGTGGTGCAAAATTATAACCTCATTTTAATTTTACTCTACAAAATTCCATAATGTTTTGTATTGCTACTTGAATTTTTTATTAGTACTTTGTTTTATTGCCTCCATTCTGAATAACTTCAAATATTCGATTAGGCATACTTTCCGAATGTTTTCTAAGATCTGCAAGAGATATGTTCTTCCAAACATGAACAATTGCCTTTTTTAATTCATCGAAATTCAAATATTGTTTCCCTTCTGCATAAACACGTCTTGCTAAGATGCCCCATACATTTTCGATGGGATTTAAATCAGGTGAGAGCGCTGGCCATTCTAATAATTGAATTTTCTTGCTGGTAAACCTTGAGATATTTGACTTTGCTCTATGAATTGGAGCATTATCTTGCTGGAAAATGAAATTGGTGTTACCAAATTTTTGTGAAATATCATTCAAATGACCATTCAACAAGTTTCTATATCCTTCTGCATTTAACTTAGTAGTAATAAAGCTAATTGAAGTCTTTCCAAAATAACCGAACGCACCCCAAATCATTACTCCTCCGCCTCCCATAGCCCTTCTTTTTGAAAATATTTTCTCTTTTCTTATGTCATGCCAGTAGTAATTGAAGCCGTCTGGACCATCATGATTGAATTTTTGTTTATCGGACCACACAATTTTTCGCCATTCTTTTTACCAAGTCATGTAGTCCTTGGCCCATTGAAGACGAATGCGTTTGTGCGCTTCAGTTAGTGCTGGAGATGTGCGTTTTTTTGCATATCTAAGAATGCCTGACTTGTTAATTGCACGATTCACCGTTCATCTTGAGCAGTTCAATCTCAAAACAGCGCCTATTTGTCTCGCGGAGATTGTACGGTTTCTAGCAGCATGCACGATTCGTTGCTGTTGGCGAGCTGTAAGTATAGGTTTTCTACCACTTTGATGCTTCGTGCAATAATTTGTTGGATCATTTATGAAATTATTGATTAAACGTGGTGAACGTCTCAGTTTGCAAGCAATTGCCCTGTTTGATAAACGCAATGATCAGTAGGCTTCGATCTTGCCTTTTTCTTTATCGGAGAGTGTATTTCCTCTTGGCATTCGTTAAAATGTTTTTTATAATTTTTAAATGTAATAAATTTTATTTGAAAACGGAATTTACTACTATTTTTTAACAACTTTTGATGCAATTTAGATAACGAGGTTATAATTGTGCACCACGGTTTTATAATTTGAGTTAATTAAAGTATTAATAGATTCATGTAAATTATTTTGTTTATTTCAAAAAATGATCTACAAATAGAATTCGATCAACAAACTTTGAAAGATAGTTTTAAGGTGACTATACAGGTGAGGTTATAATTCTGCACCCCACTGTATATATATATATATATATATATATATATATATATATATATATATATATATATATATATATATATATATATATATATATATATTTGTTTATTTATATATATATATATATATATATATATATATATATATATATATATATATATATATATATATATATATATATATATATATATATGTGTGTGTTTCTTTATTTGCCAATAAGAAATTAATTTACAATCATATCAAAAGTGTATTTTAGAATGTTTAACTTTTGTTTGTGTTAACTTTTTTAGATTACACTTGAAAACTTCTCAGACAATCTTCCTACAAAATGTAATAGGATTTGTGTTGAAAAAGAAAAACTATTGGCTCACAATGATGTTTTTAGCATTGCTCATAGGTCATTTCGTATTGAATACACCAAAGCTTTTGAGAAAGCGAGTCCTAATAAAGAAAATTATACAATGGTATTTTTTAATTTTATTTTGAAACTAATTATTTAAAAAAGGCAGTTATGTATTTAAATCATAAAAATGCCAACTTTATATAGCTACTATATAGTTAAATATCCACTATATAGTTAAAAAGAATAAGCTATACATTTTATCTGTCATTTAACTATTTAAATGATTTAAATTGATGGTTGTAAAATAGGAAACAAGAATATGTTGCAGTGTTTTTACTTAGAGCTACATGCTGATATGTGTGAATATGTGATTACAGATATACAGAATGTTAGTTTAAAATCTAGATTAAAGCTTCTTGTTGTACATTGTGTGACAAAGTATGGTTTATTGTGAGTTATTTTTATTGCAAGATTTTAGATAAAAATATATTGATTTAGATAAAAGATAGGGGAAAAATTAGGATTAGAGTAGAAAAAGCTTGTTATTAAACAAAGTTAATATCTTTAACATCATGTAGGTACTCTATGGAAGGTTTATACCTCTGCAAATATTATTAGACAGATATTAAATGCTATCAAAATAACTGTAAAGTTTATTGGTTGTTTTTTAACGGGTTCGTTTTTTCTAAATCACAGCAAATTTGTTCAAAAATTGCCCATAAAAGTTCATTTAATGCTAAATGGGGTTCAGTCGGGACAGCAATGTTTTTGGAAAAACAAAAATAACTGTATTCATGATAAAGTAACTATTACACTTATATTTAGCTTCAGTTAAACTAAAAAGTGCTTGACTGAGCTCATTTTAGAATAAAACACTAAAAAAAAGTCAAATATTTGTGCTTTAAATAACTAAGTATTATTTTTATTCATTCTACCATGTTCACAGTGTGTAATGCAATTAACTAATTATTAATTATAACACATGTTCTTGTCTTATGTTTTGCTTACTAGTCATCTTCAATATCATCTTCAACTGTGGGCCATCCGTTGGAATATAGGGGTGGTGCTTTATATTTTCATCCATTTTTATTTTTTTATCAGAACTTTATCTTGAGGGTAGGCGTTTTGTTTTAATGAATGCTTATTTGGTCTACCAAGAGTTTTTTGTGTTGTATGCGCACTAAACATATGAGTCTATTGAAGGATGAATGACACGGTCTAAAAGTTCTGTTTGGTAAGTGCAATGATTGTATACAGAGATGGAAAAATCACCTTTTTTCTCATTTTAAATTTGTTTACCTTTTGTTATAAAAAAATAAACTTGTGTCATGGCATACATAAACACTACTTATTTAGATTTTTTAAGTTTAGTGACTGAACCCATTTTAGTTGAACCAATACAATTCATTTCTAGAAAATTAAATTAATTTATAGTTTTTCTAAAATAAAAACACCAGTAGATAAAGATTAAAACAAAATTTAAGCTAGAATATGAAATAAAATATTAGAAAAAATAACATTTAAATAATCATTCTAAATTCTTCATAATTGGAAACCTACATGTAAACATTAAGTTTCTTTTGTGTTATTTCTGATTATGTTTTATATAAAGTACAAAAATAGCTATAAAAATATTTATTAATTACTTGTTAAAAATTTTGATAAGGAAAAAGTTGTAAAATCAAGAAAATGTATAAGTTGTGTTAGTTGAAAAAATAAAGAAAGTTTATTTAAAACAGCTGCATTCAAATTTGGCATACTATTTTTAACTCTATTGATTGCAAGAACCAAATTAATGCAAGTTTTAAGGTATTGGGCTTAACAACTCTGGTAACAAACAGATTATGTAGGTTGGTTCCTTTGTAATTTTTTTTTTTTTTTGGTATGTATTTAGGTGCTCCCAGAAGTCCTTACGATCTTATCATAGAGCACCGCGGTAGAGCATTTAACAAGAAGTTCACGCCTCCTTCCGTACCAATGTCGCTTGTTCAGCTAGAGCTGGCATCGAACCTGGAATCTCTGGGTTCTGAGCCAGAACTCTAACCACTGCGCCACGGCTGCTTTCAATTTATAGTTTAACACATTGTCACAGACTTCTTATGCAGCTATTTTTAATGTCAAATCAATCACCAAGACCAAGTCAAAGAAAAAAAAAAAAAAGTAAACTTGGCTGAGAAATTAAGTTTGTCTCTATGAATTGATAGTCAAAAGAAAATTTCACAATAAAAATAACTAGGTTTAAAACTAGGGTTTTTGAAAACTTTTGAATATTAACAGTAAAACAAGTGTTTTTTTTTTTGTTTTTTTTTTTTTTTTTTTTTTTTTTTTTTTTTTTTTTTTTTTTTTTTGTGTGTCAAAATCACAAAGCAGCATGCAGCTGTTTTTTCTAAATTGTTTTGAATGTTTTTTTAAACACTTTTCTTTAAAGGTATTTCTACACCTAAAATGTCAAAAACTACAAATAATATAGTTAACAGAAAACTAATTTTTAGAATTATTAATATTTATTTAACATATTGATACAGGTTTTCACTTTTAGTATACTTAGCTTATAGCTTAGTATTTACTGACAAATTATTTTCACTGTGTGGTGAGTTATTTGAAATAATTTTTTGAGCTTAATTTTGAATAAATAGGCAGCTTTATTGCAAAAGTAAGTAAAGTTCTAGATTAATTAGATATTTTGGCGTAAACAAATAGTATTTGTTTTTAGCCATGTTAACAATATAAGAATAGGCTTAGTTCATAATGATTACAAAAAATAGAAAAACACAATGATTGCCATTAATTGAAATGATTGTCAATAATTGAAAAACTCAACAATCGAGTAAAATACAGCAGAGTTGTTCTATATGAAATCACCTAGTACCTCAGGGTACCACCTCAAATTGAAACCTGAAATTTTCAAAGTTAATAGTTTTTCACCCAAATTATCTATTTTTGTAGGTGTTTTTGACTGATTTTAAACAATTTTTGAGTTCTTGTACCTCAAAGTTGCAAACTTTAATGTGCTCCAGTTCAATACTAAGAGAAAGCTGTGCTAATTTTTTGTTACTTTTATGTACTTAGAGTAACCACTTGTGGAAAAAATTAAAATTATGTGTTAAAAGTTATTTTAGCACTTGCAGCAGCCTGTTAAAATATCACTTTTTTAAAAAAATATGATAAATTACACTTTGTAGACATAAAGAGTAGAATAGACAGTTAAAATAAATTATGAAACTTTTTACTGGCAAGTTTCTATATATAGACAATCACCAAAAAAAATTTAAAAACCTATACTCTATCTTATGACATTATTGTAGCCCTATGACTTTGGTGTATATTTTTAATTTTTCCGTGAATAAATTTAATCATAATTAAACATTATCAGTGTCTTAACTTAATTTATTTGATATGATTTTATAATATGTATTTGTTAAATTTTATGCATATAGCATAATTAAAATGATATAAATTTCACATGGTTATAATTTGAGTGTAAAATACTTCAAACTTTTAATTGCTTCAAGAGTTTGTATTAAAATCTAAATCTGCACAATATTTTCTCGATTTTCCTATTTTAGTTTTTAATATTGCAAGAACCAAAAAATAAAAAATTTTGTGTATGCAGAAATAGTTATATATATTTTTTAATTTTTTTTTTAACATCTTCGCTTCTAACAAAGCTGCAAGCAACCACTAATTAGTGTTGGAAGTTACTGGAAGAGAAAAGATGAAGATTCTAGAGCAAGATAACGATTGACAGACGACTTAAAAGATTATAAATTATATGAATCAGGAAAACAAGATGAAGGAAGTGAATTCCAAAGAACTGATGTTCGAGGAAAAAAACTAGACGAATAAGAGTTTTTAGAGCACTTAGGAACAGTAACAGAAAAAGGATGAGACTTAATTGAATGAGGAGTAACACGAGAATGAATTTTTGTAGATGGCACAAGAGACACTAGCTCTTTAGAGCAGTGCCCATTATTGTATTTGTAGAAAAGAGAAAGAGAAGCAACATTACGACGATGTGACTGAGGTTGAAGGTTGTCTGCAAAGAGCAGGTCCAACTATGTTTACAATGCGTTTTTGCACCTTGTCAAAAAGAGAAATGGCATCATTAGAAGATTCACCCTAGATATGGCAATAGCATTCCATACAAGGCCGGATATGAGATTTATAGAGATAGAGAATAGAATCCAGAGTAAGAAAGTGTCGAGCTCGATAAAGAGAAGCAACTTTAGCGGATGCTAATTTTGCAACAGATTTGACCTAAGGTTTCCAAGAAAGATCAGAAGTAAGAGTTAATCCTAGAAGATGAAGGGTAGATGACTCATTGAGTACATAAATATAGGAAGGTCTAAATTATTGTGATAATGATTGGCTGAAAAAAATTGAGTTTTATCTGAATTTAAGTTCACCAGCCACTGTGAGCCCCATGCTGTAGCAGAAGTGAGATCCTTTTTTCCCCCTGCAAGCAATCAGAGGGAGTTGGCTTCTTATTGTGACAAGAATAAATGGTAGTATCATCAGCAAACAATCCCACTTTAGATTTAAAAATATCTGGAATATTGTTAATGTAAATTAAAAAGAGTATATGGCCAAGGATTGAACCTTGAGGAACCCCTGAGGTTACAGAATAAGAAGAAGAGTGCTGTCCATCAAGGACAACTTTTATGCTACAATTGGAAAGGAAGGATTCAATAATCTTAGAGACATTTGCAGATACACCGTAAGAAGAAAGCTTATGGAGAAGACCAGCATGCCAAACTTTATTAAATGCTTTAGAAATGTCAAGAGCGATGGCCTTAACCTCTCCACCTTTATCTAATGCACGATAAAACCTATAGGTTATTACTGTTAGCAAATCAGCCGTAGAACGAGAAGATCGAAATCCATATTGATGATCAGAAAGTAGGTTATGAGATTCAAGATGAGAGATTAAGTGTTTGTTAATTAAAGATTCAAAAACCTTGCTTATGATAGGAAGAAGACTAATGGGACGGTAGTTAGACAAATCGGATCGCTCTCCAGAATTTTAAAAAATAGGGATAACAGATGCTGCTTTCCAGCAGGCTGGAAAACAAGACTCTGATAATCACTTGTTAAATAGTTTTGAAAGGATAGACGACAGCTCCGGAGAACACTTCTGCAAGACTATAACAGGTATGTTGTCCGGGCTGCAAGCTGTAGAAGAGTCTAAGCAGGAAATCACTTTAGATACAGAAGCTGGAGTGATATGGATGTCGAGCAATGGATCAACCTGTTTGACGACTATATCAGGTTGAATGTAGCTAGTGGAATCAAGAGATGATATTGATGAAAAGTTCTTAGCGAACAACAAAATTCTTACATAACTTCGTGGATTCAGGCTGGCATGGAATCCTTTATTCCCTCTCGACAATTCCAGGTCAAGCCTCACTCTTCTCCATGGTTTTCCTCACCTTTTCCTCAAATGTTGTACTGTTGTGATCCATTTAAAGTCCACAAGAAAAATAATATCAAGGGATTGTCTGTAGTTAACATATCAATAGCAAATCAGCTTAAGATCAAACCTGGTCAAAAAGTTTGTACTAACTGTACAAAATTTTTGAATAAATTCAAACTTGAAAAAAATACAGAAGTTTGTCAAGATGAAGCTGCTGAAGAAGATTTTAGTTTTTCTGACCTTGATAAGACAGTTTTTAATAATAGTGTGTCTTTATTGGAAATATCTCCACTCAAAAATTTAAGTGGACGCGACAAATTAGGATATAAAAAGCAAAAAGTTAAAAAAATTTCAACAAGTATGACAAACCTAGTAGTGTCAGTATTGGATAGAGACTCAAAAGATATAGTATCGGAAAAAGAGGAAAAATGTATAAACTGTAATGATTTAACAAACTGTTAGATACAATAAAAAGTAAAATGAAAATAAGTTTGAAGGAAAAAAAAGTTTAACTACTAACACCAGCTCCTGATAGTTGGTCAATTGAAAAAACTTGCGAAACATTTTCAGTTTCAGAACATCTTGTTAATAAAGCTCGAACGTTGAAAAATGAAAAAGGAATGCTAAGCCTGAGGCTAAAATAGGACAGCCTTTGCAAGATATTGTTAAACAAAAAGTCATTGAAATTTATGAATCTGAAGAGTTCACAAGACAATGTCCAGGAAAAAAAGACTTTGTTTCTGTGTGTATAAGTAATGTAAAAGTTCATAAACAAAAAAGTTTAATATTAGTTCAAATTAAAGGAACTTTATCTTGAGTTTAAGATGTTATACCCTAAACACAAAGTTGGATTCAGCCAGTTCTGTGAACTAGGGCCAAAGTGGTGCATCACAGTTGACTGTAGTAAAAGTCGCTCAGTGTGCTTATGTTCATATCATCAAAATGCTAAGTTTATGTGCGCTGCTTTACCTAAGGTCCATTTAATATATTACAAAGATTTGATGAATGTGTTTGTAATATAGATAGTCGAACCTGCATGTTTCATCTATGTTTTAACTGCCCTGGTAAAGTAAATTTGAAGACCTACTTGGAAAATGTTTTTGAAAATAATGATTTTGACGATCAGATTACATACAAACAATGGATGTCAACTGACTGAACTGCACTTGTCACATTCCAAACAAGCATTGTTGAGTTTATTGAAACTCTAAGTGAAACTTTCTATGACCTTTGTCACCACCACTTTATCAAAGAAGCACAATCTTCCTACTTATCAGAAGCTAAAAGAACATTAAATCATCACACTTGTCTTATTCTTATGGATTTTGCAGAGAACTATAGTTTTCTTGTGCAAGATTTTGTACATGGGTTTTACTGGCAGGCCAATCAAGCTATCTTACATCCATTTGCTATTTATTACAAAGATGAAAAAAATCAATTCAAATGTGAATGCTATTGTACAATTTCTGACATAATCTTTGCCATGACCAAACAACAGTTTATTGTTTTCTTACAAAGTTACTCCCTATGATAAAAATAAAACTACCCACAATCAATAAAGTAAAAACCTTCAGCGATGGTGCTGTGTCACAGTAAAAAAATTACCACTAATGTCTGTTACTTAATGTACCATCTTGAAGATCACAATATAAATGCTGAGCTATCACTACTTTGCTACATCCCATGGTAAAAGTTCATGTGATGGAATAAGAAGAACTATAAAAAGAGAAGCAGCAAAAGCAAGTTCTTGAGCAGCAAATGCAAACCAGATTCTCACATCAAATGAACTGTTTACACAGGCTGAAAAAAACATTCAAGGTGTAAACATATTTTACATTTCAAGTGATAATTTCAACAATAATTGTGAAACTTATTAAAACCTAAAGAAACAATATAAAGAGATGAGGACAGTCCCAGGCACAAGAAGCTATCACAGTTTTGTACCAGGTGGAGAGAAATTATCTTTACAGAATCTCTAGCGATACTGTCTATGATACCTGTTTGCTGAATAATATTAACTTGGGAAAAAAAGATCCTTCAAACTTTCAACCTGGTAAATACATTGCATGCTTTTACGATGATGAATGGTACATAGGGCTTGTGATTGAGATTTGTAATGAAAACCGAGATGTTATTGTAAAATTCATGCATAGAAACAAATTAAATTTAAAATGGACTAATGATGCATGATCAAGTCAGTGTTGGGCTCCATTTGACAAAGTAATATGTCAAATAAGTGCTCTATCTATTAAGGGTAGAAGTGCTCGTGACTACAAACTTGCTAATAATGATTATGACAGTGTTATGAGTTATGTGAATCAGAAATAAAGAAATTAGTGTACTTGTGTTTTAAGTGTATATACACTTCTTCTTTCAGCATTTTAGTTTTTTTGAAATATATTATAACTTCCTTTATTAGGTATCCTTTCAAACTAAAAAAGCATTGCACTCAAAATGCTAAAATCATGTCATAAGATAGAGTATAGGTCTTTAAATTTTTTGTGATGATTTTCTATATATAGAACCTTGCCAGTAAAAAGTTTCATGGTTTATTTTAACTGTCTACCCTACTTTCTATGTCTACAAAGTAAATGTAATTTATCGTATTTTTTAAAAAAAGTGATAGTTTAACAGGCTGCTGCAAGGGCTAACTTTTAACACATAATTTTAATTTTTTCCACAAGTGGTTACTCTAAGTACATAAAAGTAACAAAAAAATTTGCACAGCTTGTCTGTTGGTATTAAACTGTAACACATTAAAATTTTTAAAAAATTTTTTGTAATGCGTTATTTAGCAACTTTGAGGTACAGAACTCAAAGTTGCTAAATAACTCAAGAGTTGTTTAAAATCAATCATAAACACCTACAAAAATAGATAATTTGGTTGAAGAACTATTACCTTTAAAAATTTCAGGTGATCATCTATTTTATTTAAAAAGTTATGATCTGTTAAAAATCGAAAAAATCTACTGTAAGCTCCAGATACTCAAATTTTTCTGATTTTAGTCAATATTAATTCACTTTACTTTTGAACAGTTTGGTCAATCAAGCTAAATTTTCAGGATTGTGTTTTTTTCATAAAAGCTGTGGGTGGTCAAAATTTGAAGCAAATTTGAGGTGGTACCATGGGACCATTAGGTGATTTGATATAGAATGACCCAGCATGAATGTTGATGAAATACCACCAAAGAAGAGGGCAATTTTTGAGATTTGTAATTTTTAAGAGAAAGATAATTTTTTGGTGTAAATTTTCTTAGTAGTGATGACAACAAAATTAAAAACCTCTATTGTGCGTGATTTTGGCTCATGTTCTGCTTTCTCATGTTCTAGATATGGTTGCGATAGGACAAGGTTTATCTTGTATTATTATGACTAAAGATTTTGTTGGACTGATGCAAGATGGAGCTGCTGTGAACAAAAACTACATTTGTTGTTTTGGATGTTATTGGATAATTTTTTATGTCTTGTACTAGAGTGTGGAATTATTAGAAAAGTGGCAAAGATTTGATGAACTTGAATAGCTGTGAGATTGCTAAAATTGACACTTTTAATGATGGTATAGATATGGAAATGATAAGCATCCATTTAATCGAACAGAAAGATGTGGATTATTATGACCTGCCAAAGATTTTGAAAAAACTTTTCACTTTCAAATTTTCAAAAAGATTCATCAAGAAATCCACAATTTGCAATGAGTTCTTTTTAAGCAAAGTAATGCATGAATTTGGCCATGCGATAAAAACAAGCAAGCAGAAAATAGCTATGTGAGGTGTGCAGGAATTTAGTTAGAGCAAACTTCGTTTTAGGAACTGTTTGTAAGCAATGGGTTACAAGAGATATAAGATGCTTTTAGTATAATGTCAAAAAGAGATAAATAGGGGAAGAAAATAATAAAAAAGCAGTGGAAAGATAAAGTGTGTTTGTGAGTTATCTCTTGGAGAATCAGATAAGCTGATGGAGCATCAATGGCAAGGAGTCAGGTGTGTCTGGGCCAAGTTTAGAGAATTATTTTCACTTCTAACAGCAAGACATGCATCAATAAGAAATAATGGAAAGTTATACACACCAAGTATTCAAAATGTTGGCAGTTAATGTATGGCAGTGAATGTATGGCAGTGAAACTTGTGCAATGAAATTTTATGATGCCCATGATCTAAAAAAAACAGATTATAATTAGTTGAATATGCAGTGTGATTCTAAAAGATAAGAAAAAAAAGGCAAGGCTCTTTAGCAGAAATTGAGAATAGTTAAAGTATTTGACAGTGTGCATCTGGAAAAGTTAAGGTGGTTGCAGATGTGGTTGTAGGTTGGTATCAGCATAAAGACCAGTTTGACTAAATTATTCATAATTTATCTCATATGTTGCTTAGTCACATCTTGTTCTAAATCATTTGATTGGCTCTCTTTTTTGTTATTGAAAATTTAATAAGTGCTTTATTTTATTAACTTTATTAAAATCTGCAATATTTGGAAATTTTATTTTATGATCTGGTGGAAAACCCTTGTTTTATTTTTGATATTTTGCTAAAAAAAGTTATGTTTATTACATTTAATGTTGTCATTTTGTAGTTTGCTTACAATAATGCTGTTTGTTTTTTTTAGCTTGCATGTGATCACATTAAAGTATATAGTTTTTAATTTTTTGTTAGTTTTTTACTATTAGTTTTTTTTGAATTTAGATTCCATTTGGTACCAAGTCGATGACCACAGATTCTATATCTCCTATGAGAAATAATACAAAACTGCATAATCTCGATTGTACTGATTCTAAAAATTCTGAAAAAATTAATATGCTACCTCTTCGTGTTTTAAACAAAGAGAATAATGCTTCAGATCTAGTTACCAATACTCCAAAGTCCTTGTTAAAAAGAACCTCTCTTTCAACCAAGAAAAGAGTTTCATTTGGTGCAGTTTTAAGTCCAGAATACTTTGATAAAAGACTCCCACCAAGTACTCCAATAAGACGGGGTGCCAGCCCAGCAGTTTCATTGCCACCTAGATCATTTATTCAAAGAACATCTTTATTTCCTGATTATAAAGATTCTACTTTTATTGAAAGCAATATATCTAGCAATACAGAGACACAAACCTCTAACTTAGACAATGTTTTATTATCATTTGATTCTGAGTCAAATGTGGACATTTTTGATGATTCTCCAACAACTAAAAGCAAGTTACCAGCTCCAATACAAGCTGAAGTAATAAAATCTTGGAAAAATAATTTACTTCCGTCTGTTAATGAAGAGCAAGAGTCTCATCTATCACCTAACCAGTTACCTCAGCCTTTACCTAATCATTTTAAAAAGCGAGCTTTAAAAACTCCTTTGCGAAAAGATATTCAATCAAAACCAGTTCTTCGTAAAACACTCAGAAAGGGATTGATGACACCATTAAGAAAACAGATTATCCAAGGTTATATATATTTTATTTTTTAATGGATAATTGCAAAAAAATATTTAAAAAATATATTTATATAATTGTCTAAATGTTTTAGGTGTAACTCTTAAAAAAACCTTAAAAAGAACAATAAAAATTTCAAATATTGATGTAACAGAGATTGTAGCATACCCAAATAACAATTTGTCAAAAAATAAAGATTTAACACTTTTGAATGAAAATAGTATAAATCAAACTATTTTTCAGTTTGATTTATCCAATCAAAAGTTGAGAACTTTAGAACAGAAAAATGTTTCTCTGTGTGAAGTAAATAGTGAGTTACATACACCATTGAAAAATAAAATAAATGAAGGGTTATTACTTGATCAAACAAAAAATAAATTAAAAACACCTTTGAGAAATGAAATTGAAGGAGGAAAGTCACTACGCAAAACTAAGAAAAAGTTGCAAACACCTTTAAGGAAACAAATTAAGCAAGGATTATCTCTTCGTCAAACAAGAAGAAAGCTACAAACACCTTTGAGAAACCAAATTCAAACAAGAATATTATTAAGAAAAACAGTTAGGAAATTACAAACTCCCTTGAAAGCACAAATTAATGAAGGGTTATTGCTTCGTCAAACAATGAAAAAGTTGCAAACACCTTTAAGATATCAAATCCAAGGAGGTATGTCACTTAGAAAATCAATGAAAAAGTTACAAACACCATTAAGAGTACAGATTGGTAAAGGATTAACTCTTCGTCAAACAAAGAAAAAGTTGCAAACACCATTAAGGAAGCAAATTCAAGGAGGTATGTCACTTAGACAAACAAAGAAAAAGTTACAAACACCACTAAAGAATCAAATTGGTGAAGGTATATTACTTCGTCAAACAAAAAAGAAGTTGCAAACACCATTAAGAAAACAAATCCAAGGAGGTATGTCACTTAGACAAACAATGAAGAAGTTGCAAACACCACTAAAGAATCAAATTGGTGAAGGTATATTACTTCGTCAAACAAAAAAGAAGTTACAAACTCCATTAAGAAAACAAATTCAAGGAGGCCTGTCACTTAGACAAACAATGAAGAAGTTGCAAACACCTCTAAAGAATCAAATCGGTGAAGGAATTTTACTTCGTCAAACAAAAAAGAAATTAAAAACTCCTTTAAGGAAACAAATTCAAGGAGGCCCGTCACTTAGACAAACAATTAAGAAGTTGCAAACACCACTTAAGGATCAAATTGGTAGAGGAATATTGCTTCGTCAAACAAAAAAGAAATTACAAACACCATTAAAATGTCAAATTAGTGAAGGAATTTTACTTCGCCAAACAAAAAAAAAGTTACAAACACCATTAAAGAAGCAAATCCAAGAAGGTATATCACTTAGACAAACAATGAAGAAGTTGCAAACACCACTAAAGAATCAAATTGGTGAAGGAATATTACTTCGTCAAACAAAAAAGAAGTTACAAACTCCATTAAGAAAACAAATTCAAGGAGGTATGTCACTTAGACAAACTATGAAGAAGTTGCAAACACCACTAAAGAATCAAATTGTTGAAGGAACTATACTTCGTCAAACAAAAAAGAAATTACAAACTCCATTAAGGAAACAAATTCAAGGAGGCCTGTCACTTAGACAAACAATGAAGAAGTTGCAAACACCATTAAAGAATCAGATTTGTGAAGGAATTTTGCTTCGTCAAACAAAAAAGAAATTACAAACACCATTAAAACTTCAGATTAGTGAAGGAATTTTACTTCGTCAAACAAAAAAAAAGTTACAAACACCATTAAAGAAGCAAATCCAAGAAGGTATGCCACTTAGACAAACAATGAAGAAGTTGCAAACACCACTAAAGAATCAAATTAATGAAGGAATATTACTTCGTCAAACAAAAAAAAAATTACAAACTCCATTAAGGAAACAAATTCAAGGAGGCCTGTCACTTAGACAAACAATGAAGAAGTTGCAAACACCTTTAAAGAAGCAAATAAGTGAAGGATATTTGCTTCGTCAAACAATGAAGAAATTGCAAACACCATTAAAAAATCAAATTGGTGAGGGAATATTACTTCGTCAAACAAAAAAAAAATTACAAACACCATTAAGAAAGCAAATTCAAGGAGGTATGTTACTTAGACAAACAATGAAGAGAATGCAAACACCTTTAAAGAAACAAATTAGTGAAGGATATTTGCTTCGTCAAACAATGAAGAATTTGCAAACACCATTAAAGAATCAAATTAATGAAGGAATATTACTTCGTCAAACAAAAAAGAAATTACAAACTCCATTAAGGAAACAAATTCAAGGAGGCCTGTCACTTAAACAAACAATGAAGAAGTTGCAAACACCGTTAAAGAAGCAAATCGGTGAACGGCTATTACTTCGTCAAACTAAGAAGAAATTGCAAACACCTTTAAAAAAACAAATTAGTGTAGGATTATCACTTCGTTTCACAAAAAAGAAATTACAAACACCATTAAAGAAACAAATCCAAGCAGGTATATTACTTAAAAAAAAAATTAGAACTTTGCCAACACCATTACAGGAAGAAATTTGTGAAGGATTACCTCTTTGCCAAATAAGAAAAAATTCAAAAACACTATTGATAAACCAGAATAATGGAAACGAAACAAATGTTTGCAAAATATTAAAAGCTCAACAAGAGACTACTGAAGTATATCAGGAATCTTCATTTCTTAATTCTAATTTTGATTTAGCTGCTGAAGTTCCCATTAAGGTATTTTTATTTATTAATTAATATTCATTTTAACTTTAAATTTCATAATTAAATGGATTTATATATTTATGATAAATTTTTAGAGAACTCTTGGAATACAAACAATTTATAATTTTTTTAATTTTATTATTATTTTTCTAATATTTAATATTTTCAATATCATTTATTATGCAAGTTGAAATTAAAAATGAAACCAATAACATTACTCCTTTAAACTAATTTTTATTTTGTTCATGTTTTACTAAAAGTTTAGGTCGTTTTTTTTTTTTTGCTGTGTATCTCCTCAAGGCTGACTGTATATCTCCTTAAGGCTGGACAAATCTGCTGGGCAGACAAATAAGTTGAGCACAATATGACCAAAGATAATGGATTTTTGAGAATATTGCCAAAGAAATCAGTTGACAAAAGACTTTTAAAAATGTGAATTGTACAAATCAAAACATAAAAACGAAAGAGAGTTCCAAAGCATAAAGATGTGTGAGAAAAACTAGATAAATTTATTTTGAACATGTAGGAATAGTTGCAGTAAAAGAATGTGATTTTGATGACAAGACAGTCAAGGTTTAATCTCAGTTCATGTATTAATGACGGAGTGTTAGACTTTTTTTTCAATAAAATTTGTTAAAAATTTAACAATTTTCAATATGTCTAAAATAAAGCGTTTTGAGAATAATGGATGAAATATAAATGAATCTAAAATGAATAATGAAAGCAATCTAAGAATAATGGACCTTAATATCAGACATAATGGACGTTGGTTTTTTCATAAAAACATTGTTTAACTTGAATTTTTAACTTCCTTTTATCAAGAGCTAAATGTTAAACAAAAACTGTTTGTTTGTTTTTTCAATTATAATCTAAAATACTTAAAAAAATTATTTAAAAATCTAAAAAGTTAATTTTTGATGAATCAATTACAAAATTAGCAATTTAAGAACTAACACATTTTTAATCTATTTTCTATATATGGTAAGCTTGCTATTTTTCAAAAATTTACTGATAAGATTCAGTAAGTAATTATGGAGTTCTAAAAATGGCTGCAGGTAAAACTTAGAATCAAAAGTATTTTTAATTATTATCTCCTTTTCTTATGGATTTACTAGATTTCAACAAAAACAAAAAATAAATGGTGGGTACTCATGGGTTTTTAAATTTGTCAACTTAATTCAAAAGTTTGTTATGTATTTATTTATTACTATGTATTAAAAAATAATATTATGTAATAAACAATCAACATAAACATTGATTCTTAAAAATATTTATATGAAATCACTTTTAAGCTTTGAGATAAATATAGTCCATAGCATCTACCTGTTGCTGGTTGAATGTTCAAATATAAAATTTAGCATAAAATGTTTGTTATTGAATCCTAGATAATATCATTATATCAAGGATTTTGTTTATGGTAATAGGTCAGATATATTTTAGTAATTTTTGGTTATGAACTTGCACCATTACTGAAATAAATGCATTAGTTGAAGTAAGTTATCGTCAGGTCAGGTTATCCTGCTATTGGTAACATGTAACCCAGTACAACCTGCTTTATATCTTGCTGCCTCGTAGCATACTCTTTTTTAGGCAAAGACTTAGAAAATCCAACTCTGACTTAAAACACTCCCTGCCTTGGAAAATTTGCTTGAGTAAAGGCTAGAGATAGTGTCTCCATGAAAATACTCATCTTGGCCAGATGTCAAACGCATCCAGCTACTGTCTTGTAGAAGGCCTCCTAGGCAAATACTTAAGGGGTAAACAGTTTCTATCTGTTGATCAGCCCGGCACCCCTTCTTTCTCTATTAGGCTGGTGCAAATGTATTTTGAATACATTGTTTCCAGTTTAGGATGTTGAATGCTGAATTTTTTTAACTCATGGGTTTTGCTTGTGTCTCTGTTTTTATGACTAGGCAACTCATTCTATTATCTCCTAATGAGGGTACAGCTCTAAAACTCAGTTTTATGGTTCTAATACTGCTGGTAGTCAGGTTTCCCAAACTCTGTGATAGCTCTCAGAAAGGCTAGATTCCATCAACAGCTGTAAAATATTAGAGTACTAACAGAGCCATGTTGTGCAAGGATGGTGTCCCTGTTTGTACTTTTGGTGTGCATTGTCGAGGCCACATTTGGAGCCCTTTGTTACGACTTAGGGTTTAATATTAGTAATGAGGTAACTGCTTCGGCTATTAAATAGTATACTGAGTACTACTTATGCTTTTAGTCAAGTTCTTTAACAAATTTAAAAATGACTAAAGTACCAAAAACTACAAAACAAAAAACCATGGCTATCACCAAGTTCTCTAAACCTAATTCACTAATATGCGTGGTGTTTGAAGTAACTTTTCTTCTGTTGAGTCTTATATCTTGCAAAGTGCACTAGAACTACTTGCTCTTTGTATGAATAATTTGAGTTCGGCTTTCTCATCTTGTAATCTTAGTGTTGATGGTTATCTTCCTTTAATTCGTAAAGCTCCAATAGTCACACGGTTGGCCTGGGCATTTACATTCGTAAGAATTCACCCATTCAGATAAAAACCAAAGATGACTCGACGAGTCATCTACCCTTCATCTTCTAGAATTAATTCTTCTAATATTTCCTGGAAACTATATATCAAATCTATTGCAAAATTAGCATCTGCTAAGGTTGCATCTCTTTATCGTGCTTGCCACTTTCTTAATCTTGATTTCTTTATCTCTATGAAGCTCAAATCTTTCCTTGTATGCTGTTACCACATCTGGGGCGGATTTTCCAATGATGCCCTTTCTCTTTTAGACAAGGTGCAAAAATGCATTGTAAACATAGTTGGACCTGCTTTTGCAGCCAACCTCCAACCAATATCACATCATCATAATGATGCTTCTCTTTCTCTTTTTTACAAATACTATAACGGGCACTGCTCTTAAGAGTAATATAGCATAGGTAACCCTGTTTTTATGAGCTACTGAGTTCAGAGGTGAACAACTAAGGCTATTGGTGCTTAAATTGTTTATATGAATCACTTTCCTAATCTTAATTCTTGCATGTTATAAATTCATTGTTTTTTAAGTACAATAATGTCTAAGCTTATGACCAGGTTTTAAAGCAAACTTCTTTGCAACAATAACATTGTTGACTCTGAAAGATTTTAAAAAGTAACAAAAAGATTAAATCGGCTTTGATTTATCTTTTAAATGAATTATTGTTTTTTTGAGATACTTTTTAATTTAATTTTGTAACAACATAGTTGACCTTTTTATGGTGAGTCTAAGTATGAGGTGGACACACAAAAATCTGGTCAACTTAAAATTGAGATTTTTCTAAAACCACAAATGCTTTTTCTTTCTTTTACTTTTTCAATTAAATGTTACTTCCTTATCTTTAATTGTGTTGATGAACTTTTGTTTACAAATCATTGGTTTGCAAAATATTTTGGAAATATATTGAGGTGCATAAAAAAGTTTTGAATTTTCTTTCTAAAATCTATTGACTTCATATTGCTTGATTGCTAAACGTACAATTGTCCCAAAATCTACAGTCATAGATATCGTAAATAAGACTACTCAAAGCTTTGAAAGAAAAACTGGAAGTGGAAGAAAGAAAATTTTCAGTAAATCCAAAAAGGCAAAATCAATTCTCAGTTCAATAGCAAAAAATCAAAACCAGTCATAGTGAGATCTAGCAAGAAAATTCAAGACTTAAATCAAAAAAGTACTTAAAAATGCTGGAATTAAAACATTTCATAAGAAATATACACCTAAGAGAAGTTTAAATGGTGAAATTAAAGGAATTTGATACGCAATGAAGTTGGTTAAAATACTGGCCGATAAAGTATGTAAATAATTGAAGATAATGAAACATATTGCAAGGCTGATTTTTCCTGGTCAATTGATTGCAAATTTTTCTTTGGCAAGAAAAATTTGCAATCAAGTTCCTTATGTGACAAGCAATTTGTACCTGTGGTATTCAGTCCTCTTGTTTTGTCACTAAGAAGACTTTGACTGCTGATTTCTACATCAAAGAATGCCTTCCAAACAAGACTTTTGCAATTTACGAAAAAACACAAATATGGATGTCTCTTTTGGCCCAATCTTGTTGCTTCTCACTATTCTAAAAAAGTTCTACAGTGGTGCAAAGATAATATGAGAATTGTTCCTAAAGATGGGAATTCTCCATATTGTCCTGAAGAGCCCAAGGTTGAAGATATTCGGGCAATAGTTAAAGGAGTTCTTCATAAGACAGCTGTAGTAAGAAAAAATAAAAGACTTCCAGAAAAAATGGGTTAATGCCATTAATAAGTTAAAAAAAAGAAAAAATCTGCAAAATGGCATTAACCCGCGATCTCTTGCCATACAGCCCTTCAAGCCTCTTGAAATTAAGTTGAAACCCTAATTAATGTAAAAAAATATTTAATATAAAAAAAATTGAAATAAAAAGCGTTCTTGGTTTTAGAGAAATCTCAATTTAAAGTTGACTGCATTTTTCCTTTCCATCTGATAATATTAAGTGCATAAGTTCTTAATCTTTTAATTTTATATTTATATTTCTTGATTTTTGTAAATTTATTTTGTTATTTCAATGCTACATTGAGTTAGATCTAAGATGATTTAGATTTAAAGAAGGTAGTTTAATATTTAGGTAACATTTTTATTTATTATTTAAAAAGTAAACTTAAATGTAAGTTTAGGTTTCCTTGAGTTTTGATCGTAAATAAATTCACTAATAAGTTCACTAATAACTTGACTTGTTACTATCTAATTTTATAAACTCAATGACATTGAATTTTATAAACTAAATGACATTGAATTTTATATACTCAATGACATTTTGGGGCTTAATGATAAGACTAAATTTGTCTTCTTCTAGCCCCGGTCATGTAATTATTTTTTTTATAAGTTACGACTGTAAATTTTTTTTTTATCGGCAAAAGTGTAAATAAATTAAAAAAAAAAAACATTGAATTTTATAAACTCAATGACAAACTTTTACATGTGTATGTTTAATACTTTACTTGTGCATTAAGACATTTCAT